TAACATATTAAAAATATATTTAATATTGAGTGAGTGAGAACTTGTTCATTCGCAGTTCCTAGTTCCTATAAATAATTATTCAATTACATGAAAACCGCTGCTCTAAATGTAGAAGAACATACTAGCCCCTACTGTATTGACCTAAACATGCAATTACTTGTTTGAGTGTGATAAGACAACAATCATTGTTTTATAATAAATTAGATAACCTGGTTTAAGATAACGACCAACAGCAAATATTAGTCAATAGTTCTATAAGAATGCATTCTATCAAACTTCCTCTATTCTCGTTTCGTTATCCAATATGAACTATTATACTTTAAGAACATTGTATATAACTACAATAATTGATATACAAATATAACTTCTTGATCAGCATTGTACGTGGTTTTTAAATTTACGAAAAGTAAATAAAAGAAACGTCTTAAATAAAGAAACACTTAAAACATGTCATAAATTTAGACAATTAATACTGCTACTTGGTACATTTTGTAACCTTTTAATTCTTATTGATCATCACAGAATCAATTTTTTTAGTTGAAACAGCTGTTAAGATTCTTTAATTCAATTTAAATATGAGTACTCATAAGGTTAACATGGGAAACTGCAGAAACAATGGGGCGGAGGCCTTTTGACGGATCTGCACCAAACTTCACACAAACCATCCTTGAATAATGCCTAATAATGCCTGAAAGTTTCAAATATATATATACAAACTTTCTCTTTTATAAATAGAAGATTAACAATAATTTTTTTTGTAATATTAAAAAAAAATTGTGACGTGATTGCAAAGTTAGAGGGAAATGTGGATCACTACTGGTCCAGCCCCATTCTTATACGAATTATCAAGCCGACTGCAGGGACCGAGAATGGCACGTGATTTTTTATGGAATCGAAAAATTTTCATTTTAATACTGTGGTGATCGATAAAATCTGCCAACAATTACCTTTCGATTTTTCACATCGACATATATATCTCATTTGACATAATCGCAGGAGGTGATCACTACGTTGCTGTATGCCTTGTTCGTTCTGGCATTTACAGTTTTGATATTGGATTATAAATTTGAGAACTGATTACAAATAAGGAGAATGACTGTGGGATCTGTGGGAAATTTTAAATTATTTAAGTCAATAAATCCCTAGTTATTATATTACTAGCAGGTACCCGGCTTGAGTAGTTGTTGCTGCACATACCAACTATTATATAAAATGGTAATGTGTTCTTTCCGACATCATATTTAAACCAACCATATGTAAATATTGAATTTTTTGCTATGGTAGCAATCAGTGTTTCTCAAAACCATTCTGAACCATTTAAAACCTGAGCCAAATTCCTAGTCAATGTCTCTGACTTTCCTCGGTATGGTAGTCATATTTGTGAGAACATTCCACTATTTTTACAGTACCTACTTTATTGGGTTATACAAAATCAGACTGGCATTTGTTTTCTGAGGAAACAAACGTAGCTATAAATTGTTTGAATGAAATTTGGGAAACCCAAATGGGCAAGTTGTGTAATGTAATGACGAGTCAAATACAAACGTTGAAAATTCCACTACATTATCAAAATGCTGTTCCATTTTGTGGATTTTAATAAAAACAAAAAAAAGTAAGACAACAATTTAAAGTCAATACTTTAACACTTTAAACAGCTAAAAAAATAATGAAATTATATTATTCTCAAAATTTACAGTATTATAGAGTATATTTAGAGTATTATCATTAAAGTATTATATTGTCTGTGGTTATATCATTAATCATTATATGTTTTAAAAAGACACAATTCGAAGTGGCAAAGTCTCAAGTAGTGGGTGCAAGTAGAGTGTGTACAGCTCTTTTGTTTGAGACAGCTAATGGTATTTGTGAATTTTTTAAGAATAGGAAAGCTTGGTTACTGGCCTAGGAAAATATTGACTCCATTTTTGTATAGAAATAGGTTTCCAATTTATATTGTTTTGGTTTTCAATCCTATATGTTTTATTTTTAATGACAAATACGCAGCTGGTATCACCTCATAAAATGTTCTTTAAATAAGGAATAAATATCATCACATTTTAATGGTGATATTTTAGTAAACATCTAATCAGGCAAATGGTAATTTGGTTAGTCTTCAGGTTTGCTGTGGTTTTTACATAGATCTCTTTATAATACAACATAGAGATCTATGGGTTTTTATCCCAACTAACTGAGCAGAAGAACGAAACAGCTAGCGCTTCTGCGGCGATGAGGGGCAACTGCCCTAGTAGTTTGTGTATTTTCCGCTGACAAATGCAGCGCTAGCAGTTTGCTTTTTCACCACTTGTTATCCACAGTAGTTTGTTTATTTACTATTAATTTACGAAGTCGAGTGGGTATGATGAGGTCTCAGTAACTGTGTTGAAGGAAGTGAAAAGGGATATCAGTAAAATTCTTAGTCACCTGATCAGTTCTTCATTTATCACTGGTTCATATCCAACTAAAATTTTAAAAAAAATCTAAAATTATCCTGGTATCAAAAAAGGTGATGCTTCAGATGTAAACAACTATCGTCCAATATCTCTGCTTCCATCTTTATCTAAAGTTTTTGAGAAAATAGCTTCAATCCAGTTAAGTAATTATTTAGAAAAATACAATTTATTGGATGATATTCAACACGGCTTTAGATCTGGTAGATCGCATAGTTGTTAGTGCCGCTGTCTCATTTATGGAATCTGTAATTGAGTCTGTTGACCAAGGAAAATTTACAACTAGCATTTTTTTTTTACTTGTCTAAAGCCTTTGACAGTGTAAAGCACTCAATTTTATTACAAAAATTACAATCTTTAGGAATATCGAAAAATTCTCTAAATTGGTTTCAGTCATATCTTTTTGACCGCAGTCAGTATGTCGAAGTAACGTTTCTATCAAACTCAAATAAACTTATTAGTATATCTTCAGAAACTCGCCCTGTTAAATTTGGCGTCCCACAAGGTTCAATATTAGGTCCTCTGTTATTTTTATGTTATATTAAAAACATGGAAAATGCCTTATTATTCCAACCTAATTCAAAATTAATTTTATATGCCGATGATTCAATCAAACTTGAAATTATCATCAGAGACTTTGGAAGCTGAAGTATATTGTAAACTAGAATTAGAAAACATCAATAAAATTCTCAAGGATCATAATTTATTTTTGAATGTAGGAAAAACTAATTGTATTAATTTTAAAACAAAACAAAACAGAAATAAGAGAAACCCGGTGATAGATTTGAATTCTCAGCAAATTATAACAAAACCAAATCTCAGTTTCTTGGCTTAACTATTGATCAGCATCTAGATTGGAATAACCATGTGGACAAAATTTTACCATAAATTAGTTCTGGAATATTTGCTTTGAGGAAAATGTCTTTTTATTGTAATATTATTGAAACAATACGTAATATCTATTTTGCATACATACATTCCCAAATTGCTTTTGGGATTTGTTTATTTGGAGCAACTTCAAAAATTTATCTTGAAAATATATTAAAAAACAAGAATATGCATTTAGAATAATGCTAAAACTACAGCGTGATGCCTCTGTGAAAAAAACACTTCGTTGAACTCAATATTTTGACAGTCTACGGACAGTATATTTTTGACTGGATTTTAATGGCAATTTAGAAAGCTGATTCTCGTCCTTTAGATTATATTTCAACCCTTCATAAATACAATACTCGACATAAAGACTCCATAATAACATATAAACATCAAACAAAATGTTTTGAAAAGAAACCTTCCTACATCGGTCAAAGATATTTAAATTCAATTCCAAAAGAAATTAATAAAGAAAGTAATAAAAACAAATTAAAAAAAGATTAAAAGAATATCTGATTAAAATAGCTCTGTATTCTTTTGACGATTTTCCACCCATCAGAGTCATAATGAATACATAAACACTTTTTCAATCTCCTGCATAGAGTGGATGAGATTGTCACTTAGGCTAGTTTGAGTTGTTGTACAACCTGACACTATTCGATGTATATATTGTACAAAATAATGAATAAAGAAGTTTGAATTGAATAATTGAATTGAAAACATAAATTGCTAAGTATAACCTGTTATAGCGTCCAAGAATTCCTGAAATGTTTTGAAAGCTTTAATTTGTAATTATTATTGTAAATATTAGTAATTGATGTATAGTATAGTATATTTGTATTGACCTGGCTAATGCAAACTGTATAATTGTCAATTTGGCCCAATAAAATGATTTTATTTGAATATTAATTTAAAGTGTATACCATTTTGAGACGAAACTGGGTTAGTGGGTTCAGCTAGAAAAATTGTCAGTCAACTTTTTAAAACATTATTTCTCATATAGATACTCTGATAAAATACTATTGTGCTTACTTTTCGGATATATCAAGTCTTACTTCTGAAAAAGTGTACGGGCAATTTTATTTTACTGTTGTTTTTGCAAATACACAGTTACTTTAATTTACCCTGTAATGTGCTGAAAAAGAATAGCGTTGATCGAAGTATTTTATAAATATGTTGTGAAAGACATTGCTATTGAATAGAAACGAAAGGTGGTTTGTTTAAAACACATTTTGTACAGTTAGCGTAGTAGACAAAAACAAAAATAATAATAGTTTTGTAAGTAACTTAAGTAGGCCTACTCCCAACGTAGAAAACCTGCAATCAAAACAAATTTCACTTTGACTGTTTGTATATTCAGAAAAATACCTCCTTGAAAATTGTTTATGTATTCCATGTTTAGATGACATTTGTTAACAAGTACTTAGGTTTGCTGCTACAGTAAGGGCAATAAGGCGTGTTTCTCATCGTGTATTGCTAACAATTAAGAATAAAACTAGAACAGTTGATTGTGGACAAATCCAACAATCCAAATATTTGGCCACTTCATTAATTCTAACGTATTTCCTTTAGATCATACTGATACAATTGTACCTACACTCGGGGAATAAGCTCTAGATTATAGATATCTGAGTGGTGCTATGTGCTAAGCTTATAAGCCAATCATTGAACTTAACTTACAAAGTTCAACTTTCGGCTTTTCAAACAATAAATGGTCTGTTGTATATCCTGGCTGGTGGCTCCTGCCTAAAACATAAACTTAACGAAATAAACTTCCTTGGCCAAGTACGGTAGTAATGTATGAGCTACTGAAAAATACCTGCGAGTATCAGTGGATACAGAGGGGGTTTAGTTAACTACCACGGGTTTAAAGTCCAAAATTGTTTGCGGCTTTTGAAGATCTAACTTGTTTATTTTGTGCTTGTTTGAAGCTAAGCTCGTTTATTGCATTTAATACAATTAAAATTAATGATAATGAATGAACAACATGAAAACAACTATAGAGACACCTAGCGGTGAATCGCGACACTGCAGCGAAGACTGGCGAACTGCTGACTGCTGCGAACCTAGCGGTGACTGGCGACACTGCTGCACTGCTGAAGCCCATACAATAATAATGGTTATTGTCATAGTCAATAATAATTGTCATTGACTATACAGGGTGTTCTAAAGTTGGGGAAAAATGTACGTACTGGTTTCTTGGGTCAAAAAAAAAACAGAAAATCAAGAATATTAATTTTTCCAAAATTAGGCCTACTTTGTTAGCCAGATATCCGCCATTTTGTATTTTACGTAAATATTTTTACCTTTGAATTTTTTCAGCCGGTCTTTATGAAATTTGGTATCTATGTAAAAGAGACCCATTTTAGAGAAAAAGTTTATTTTGATTCAACTAAAAATTTTAAAATGGTGGCCATTTTATTCTTTTAAACTTAAATTACTCGGGAATGGCTTGTTTTATGAAAAGATTTCAAGAACACTTTTTATTTAGCAGTTTTAATTCCCTATCAAACAATGCCAATATAAAAAAGAGCTAATAAGAAATAACCGAAATATTACAATTTTTAATTGTAAAATGGGGTAGAATAGGCCTAAGGCGCTAGTCAGGTTTTTCCTATTTTACAACAAAAATCGTAATATTTCAGCTATTTCTTATTTGATCTTTTTGAACTTGGTATCGTTTGATAGAGAATTAGAAATAAACGTGTCCTTTGCATGTTTTCATAAAATCGGCCATTTTCGAGCTATTTAAGTTTAAAAAATTAAAATTGCCGCAATTTTGAAATTTTAAGTTGAATCAAAATAAACTTTTTCTCAAACATGGGTTTCTTTTAGCTTAACACACATACCATATTTTTCTTAAAGATCGGTTAAAAAATTCAAGATAAAAAAGTGTATGTAAAAAATACAAAATGGTGGATATCTGGTAAACGAAGCGATTTTGAAAAAACATGTTATTCTTGATTTTCTCTTTATTTTAACCCAAGGAATCAGTACTTAAATTATGTCCCCGCCTTTTTTCAACACCCCAGGGTATCCATAAAGAACGTTTATTATTATTATATTACAAATTTTTTTTATATTATCTATATAACATATACCTAACGTTTAAAAAAAATGACTGATACTAAAAAAATGCCAAACATGAAAGATTGTTATTAAAACACCACAATAATAATCATATTAAACTTATTATGTTTGAATAAGGGCTTTATTAAGAGATTAAAGTATTATGTTATCCAGAAAACGGAATTTTTGGCTCTGACGATTGATTTTTTTACACTATTTTCGATGTTTTCCACCATATAGATTTATTTTTTCCTTTATTTTTTGGTCCAAGTAAAAAGTTTCTTTCTTTGTACTGTAAAATGAACTGTTATGAAGTTGTTAGATTTATTGGTTTTACGCTTTTATATTTGTGAGAGAAATTATCCATGAAAACTTGTTGTCGTTTAATCCGCCACAAATTACTTCATAATAAGAGAAAACATTAGCGTAATCCATTTTAGTTGGTGCACTTGAACTTAGTGTTTTACAGTGTCAAACATAGTGTTACATAATTTAGCACTTTTAAATTCCAAAGTAACCGATCAAACTGCTTTAGTAGTTCGGCTAATTTGGTCGGTTTATCCATTGAACAATCGTCTAATTAAATAGAGTGCTTTGGAATTATGTGGTAACTGCAAGTACTGAATGTACGTACGATGTACGGCCATGATAGCTTTAAGTCGGATATTAGAGAGGGTTAGGAACTACGGAATGCAATCTTCACAAGTTTGTTCCATCTAGTATATTAATAAGCCAATCGTCGATCGACATTAAAAAATTATACAATACACCCGCCGCAGCAAACCTGCAGACTACGCCAATTTCCGTTTACCTGGTTGGATTATCACTACGATTTCCTTAGAATTGTCTGATTAATTCCCTGTTTAAGTAACATCAAGTTTAATGAGTACGAAGGTTTGCTGCAACCAGAACATGTAATAAAGGACTATTTTATTGAATGTTAAAAGCCTAATATAAAATGAACGGATTTGCTAAATTTAATCAAAAATTCCCATAAATACGCAAACTAAAAGAGTGTATTATTCCCCGTAAACAAAATCTTAAGAATTTTAGTTTTACGGCTATTTATTCTCTGTTTAACTATTAGGACGTATAACAATGATTAAATATAATAAATTATTTGTTACTTAAGCGCTCTAGAAAATGGTTTGGAAATAAATTGCAAGATTTTCTTTTTTAAGGATTAAAAATGGGAAAACCCAATTTTTTCCACATAAAATAACCCTTAAAACCGTGTTCTGATAGTCAATTCATACCGAACGTAGGTTTACTAGTTTTTATCAAATTTCATCAAAATCGAGTGATTTAATACATAAGGGGTAAAATGTAAAATATTGTACACCTATGAAAATATAGTATATGGGCATTGACTATATATATATATGAGCCTGTGTGATATAAAGATATTAGCGTACTTGTAAATGTATTAACTTTTTAGAAAATATAATTCGAAATCGATTATTAATTTAAACGGGTCTTAGCTTAGGGTGGTGTAATTTGATAAAAAGCACATTTATTGTTTCATAATGATGTTATTTGGTCCAGGATCACTTCTTGATAATTAAAATGGTATAAGATTACCTGTTTCCGTCTATGATCCTAAAATTTGTAGTAATGTGCTACCGGTTTCGAGGTTATAACCTCATCATCAGGCTCTTGTCACTCTTGCGAGGTCGTCGAGTTTTACAAACACACAAAACACTGACATTTATATAAATAAAACACAAAACATTGAGGGACGAATACGATTTAACATAAAATTCGGGAACTAGTTCGACACACGACGCGGCACGGGCAAACGTTTTGTCATGACTGGGGTTGTGGCTGACCTTGCTGCCCCCTCCCGTTATCAGAACAATGCCGATGGTATTTTTGCCTCTCATTATTGTAGATGCGAATCGCTGCGTCGTATGTTATGTTCGATTTAAATGATGTTTGTTCATTTAAAACTTTTTGGGGTTCTGACTTGATGGCTTTATAGATTTCAAACTCTTCCATACTGTTTAACAAACTTCCTTTTCTTGGGCAGAGATGTAGTATTTTTAAATTCTTCTCAAAACTTGTGTAGTTATGGTTTTCATTTATTAGATGGTTGGCGAATGTTGATTTCGAATCAGATTTTTTACTGGACGGGATGTGTTCTTTATATCTTATATGAAATGAACGAGATGTTTGGCCTATGCAATATTTTTCAGTCATCGCACTGAAGCTTGTAAGCCCCAGTTTTGTCCTCCTTCCTGGTTGTTTGTTTATTATTTTTTCCTTCAACATTGAGCTCAGTTTGTTGTTTGCTCTAAATGAAACAGTGACATTATTTTTCGCCATTACCTTCTTTAATGTGTGATTGAGGACAAAGCCGTAATCAGCGGAAGCAAAACGTTCTCCAGGGGTGGGTGGATTGGTCTCAGTTTTTTTTTATTTTTATGTCGGGTTACTAATTTGTCAGTAATTGTGCTTTTATAACCATTGGCTATTGCGATGTGTTTTATAATCAGAAGTTCTTTTTCATAATCAGCAGGATTTAATGGGATGGACAATAGCCTATGGACGAAGCTGTTGTATGCGGCCATTTTTTGATTATACGGATGATGTGATGAACAATGTATTGTTTGGTCAGTAGCTGTGGGTTTCCTGTATATACTGAAATTAAGTTTTGAGTCGACTTTTGTGATTTTGAGATCTAAATAATTTATTGAATCATTATTCACTGTTTCAAGTGTAAATTGTACATTTTTGTGAATCTTATTGAGATTGTTGTTCATTAGGTTGAGCTGTCTGATGTTGCCACTAAACAGGATTATTATGTCATCAACATATCTGTGGTAAAACATTATTTTATCATGGTAACGGTTGGCATTTGAAAGAATATGTCGATTTTCGAATTTGTTCAAGAATAGGTCTGCTAGTATCCCAGAAAGTGGGGAACCCATTGCTAGACCATCACTTTGGATAAAATAATCGTTATTCAATTGAAAATAGTTCTGCTTCAAGACCAGTGTTGTTAGACTGATAAGTTCACTTGGTTATTAACTCGAAACCGGTAGCTCATTAACTACAAATTTTAGGATCATAGACGGAAACAGGTAATCTTATACCTTTTTAACATTTATAGTTATTAATGGCAATTAAAAGAGAAACAAATTACACTTAGAATGTAGTAAGTCTTTGGCTGCAGTTCATTCATTTAGTAGAATTCACACGCATTCACAGATCACAGTTACAGTAGGCAACGAGTAAATGGATATACCATGGATATATAACAAACAATTGTGTTTATTTATCGATGGGATATACCAACCGATTAGTAGTCTAGTCGCAATTGGTGAACTATTATATATACAGCAGAGCTTATAGGCCAATCTTCGGTCCCAGGTAAGGGACACGAGTCGGCCTTTTAAAAAATGGTTTGAACTGATTGTGCCGTCCTTGAAACAAGAAACACCTGCAGTTTAGGGGGTATAGTCTTGGAGCTCCCAAAAAATCAATGCGGGTGCCAAAGTATTCAGAGGCTTTTCAGTTAACTAAAACCACGTTAAATTGAAACAGATTTGTACTATTTTGAATGTTAAGTTTGTATATCTTGAATCTAAAGTCACGTTTGTTTGTTATATACTCTATGGAAATTAAATTATTAAAAAGTAAAAGTAAAACTACAGTTTATTAAGGA